AATCTCTTCTTATTCCCCATCCTCTGTCAGTAGGCGGTAATGGGGGGGACAGTATTTGCCCAGTGGGGGGGTCAGGAGCCATCAGCCTCTATTAGACTCCGGCTCTCCTCCTCACATCATGTCATTGAGACGTGACCAGTCTCCCCCCACACACACTGTCTGGGGTCTCTCATTCATCTCAGTACAGGGGGCTTCAATTTCTCTTTATTCACAGACCCCGGAGACGCCAGAGAGTCTCAGGGAGACATCAAAGCTGAAGAGGAAGGAGGTCATGTGAGGATTAAAGAAGAAGAAATTCCTACAGTAATCAGCACAAGTGAGTAATAATCATTAAGTACAGTTATTTATAAAATAATGTTATCTTGTATGAAGGGCTAATTAAAATGTTATTACAGAAATGTTCAGACATTTTCCACAGCAGATTATTAGGTTGGTAAATCAGATACTGTATAATTATGAATTTGGGATCTTGAAGCCTACACTAACATTTGAAGAGATTGACCCTTCTAGCCGGTATTCCCTCAGTTCCCATTTGGAGAGGAGTGGATGCCTCTACACCAGCCTTTGTCAACCAGGGTGCCCAGGCACCCTGGGGTTCCTTGAGGTTTCTTCAGGGGTGCCTGCCCCTCTCCATCAGTGCTGGGGTCACAGTAGCTCAGTGATGGATAAAAACTGAGGGAGAAGAGAAACACTGGTATACTAGTCAGTACCAGTGTGCAAAAGTGTATTTGCTTTGGAAGAATAAATCACCTCTAATGTTGGGTGTCCTCCATGTGTGGATGTTACTGTGTTATATAAAACTATTAGAATAGCTTTTCAAATTTTAGAATGGGGTGCCTCGGGACTGTCCATAATTTTAAGGGGTGCCTCAAGACTGCCCTTAATTTTAAAGGGTGCCTCAAAACTGTCCATAATTTTAAAAGGTGCCTCAAGACTGCCCATAATTTTAAAGGGTGCCTCGGGACTGTCCATAATTTTAAAGGGTGCCTCGGGACTATCCATAATTTTAAGGGGTGCCTCGGGACGATCCATAATTTTAAGGGGTGCCTCGGGACTGTCCATAATTTTAAAGGGTGCCTCAAGACTGCCCATAATTTTATATAGGGTGCCCGAAGACTGCCCATAATTTTAAAGGGTGCCTCGGGACTGTCCATAATTTTATAGGGTGCCTCAAGACTGCACATAATTTTAAAGGGTGTTTCAAGACTGCCCATAATTTTAAAGGGTGCCTCAAGACTGCCCATAATTTTAAAGGGTGCCTCAAGACTGCCCATAATTTTAAAGGGTGCCTCGGGACTGTCCATAATTTTAAAGGGTGCCTCAAGACTGCCCATAATTTTAAAGGGTGCCTCGGGACTGTCCATAATTTTAAAGGGTGCCTCGGGACTATCCATAATTTTAAGGGGTGCCTCGGGACAATCCATAATTTTAAGGGGTACCTCGGGACTGTCCATAATTTTAAAGGGTGCCTCAAGACTGCCCATAATTTTAAGGGGTGCCTCGGAACTGTCCATAATTTTATAGGGTGCCTCAAGACTGCCCATAATTTTATAGGGTGCCTCAAGACTGCCCAAAATTTTAAAGGGTGCCTCGGGACTATCCATAATTTTATAGGGTGCCTCAAGACTGCCCATAATTTTATAGGGTGCCTCGGGTCTGTCCATAATTTTATAGGGTGCCTCAAGACTCAAGACTGCCCATAATTTTAAAGGGTGCCTCGGGACTATCCATAATTAATTTTATAGGGTGCCTCAAGACTGCACATAATTTTAAAGGGTGCCTCGGGACTGTCCATAATTTTATAGGGTGCCTCAAGACTGCCCATAATTTTTTAAAGGGTGCCTCAAGACTCGGGACCTGTCCATAATTTTTATAGGGTGCCTTAAGACTGCCCATAATTTTAAAGGGTGCCTCAAGACTGTCCATAATTTAAAAGGATGCCTCGGGACTGTCCATAATTTTAAGGGGTGCCTCGGTAACTGTCCATAATTTTAAAGGGTGCCTCGGCACTGTCCATAATTTTAAGAGGTGCCTCGGAACTGTCCATAATTTTAAGGGGTGCCTCGGGACTGTCCATACTTTAAAGGGGTGCCTCGGAACTGTCCGTAATTTTAAAGGGTGCATCGGAACTGTCCATAATTTTAAGGGGTGCCTCGGAACTGTCCATAATTTTAAAGGGTGCCTCGGAACTGTCCATAATTTTAAGGGGTGCCTCAGAACTGTCCATAATTTTAAGGGGTGCTTTTTCCTCTTACCGAGAGCCATATAGGTGAGGCCAAGATATGTAATACAGCCACAGAGGTGTTTGGAAATGTATTAATACATATAAAGGAGGATCTCGTGATTTTTTTTATATATAGCTGATCTGTTGTGTTTGTGTGAATTCATGAATCAGCTTGAATACTTGTATGAACACATCAAAAATCTCCTTTTGCTATAGTCTTATTTATTTTATTTTAGGTACTTACAGTTATTATATGGTGACAGCGCTAACTTATATAATATATATATTGTACATTCACATCAGTCCCTAAACCTCAAGGGGCGTACAACCTAAGGTCCCTAACTCACATTCATATACTACGGCCAATTTAGACAGGATCCATTTAACCTACCAGCATGTCTTTGGAGTGTGGGAGGAAACCGGAGTACCCGGAGGAAACCCACACAGGCACAGGGAGAACATGGAAACTCCAGGCCGGTGGTGCTGGGGCTGGGATTCAAACCAACAACCCCTAGTACTGCCAGGCAGAAGTGCGTGTAACCGTTTAGCCATTGTGCTGCCGCATAGTTTCTTATAAAGGAGATAGATATGTATATTGACTTGGTTTATCTTAATCTGGGAATGCATGTTGAGTTTTTTTACCTTGTTAACCAGTGGGTTGAACAAAACAAACAAATCACAGATTCCGGAACAATTGATTTTGATGTCAAATACACAGATCTGCGCTGCAGCCATCGGCTGCAGCAGGTGATCAAATGCTGGTTTTCCAGGACTATTAAACAGCAGCCGGCCTAATGACTGGCTTCAGTTGAACAGAGAGGGGTATACATGGACCAAAATTGGTCCGGTTTCTGCTGAACTAGCCAAATTTAAATTTATGTATATCCAACTTTGGTTCCTATAGTGAACTCGGTGTAGAGCTATTCACCTTGACGTCATCACAAAAGTACAAGGGGGCGCTCTTTACATCTGGAGGAAAAGAAATATAATCTCAAAACAGGGAAAGGTTTCTTGACAGTAAGAGCTGTGAAAATGTGGAATATACTCCCTCAAGAGTTGGTTCTGGCCAGCTCAGTGGATTGCTGTAGGAAAGTCCTGGATTCTTTTTTGGATACACAGAATATAACTGGATACTAACATGTATAGGTAAAGTTGATCCAGGGAATATCCGATTGCCTCTCGGGGGATCAGGAAGGAATTTTTTTCCCTGCAGGAGCAAATTGATCGTGCTTTGCTGGGTTTTTTTGCCTTCCTCTGGATCAACTGTGGGTAAAGAATTATAATTTTTTTTTTTTTTTTTTAAAAATGGTTGAACTGGATAGACTTTTGTCTTTTTTCAGCCAGACTAACTATGTAACTTTAGTTAAAGCGGAGTTCCACCTGAAAAAAAAAAATAAAAGTCAGCAGCTACAGAAACCGTAGCTGCTGACTTTTAAAATACAGACACTTACTTGTCCCTCGGTCCAGCAGTGTCCTCACCACGGCTGGTTTCACCGGCCATCTTCTCTCTCCCCCTGGAGCCGGCATCTTTAGTGTGGGCACTCAGCTGTGACAGCTTGCGGCTTCACAGCCGGGTGTCCACTGCGTATGCGCGAGAAGCACTGCTCTTTATGAATGTCCCCGAAGTCTTCTGGGATCTGTCACGTGTCCCAGAAGACTACGAGGAGGGAGGACAACATCCACTTCCAATCGCCTAGGTGATCACAGCGGAAGTGGGAGCAGGTACCTATCAAATTGGGTGCCAAAGTTGCCAATCCTTAATGGGGAGCGGGGGGACAAAGGCTTAAAGTGGAACTTCCCCTTTTGGGTCAAGCTCCGCTTTAAGTATAGAATGAGGAAGGGTTAGAACCCCCTGATGGGTTTTTTTTTTTTCCAGAATTCATTTAGAGAGATCCTCCCTCTAGGAAGTTAAGGAAACTCTCCAATAGCAACACTGACAGAAAAATAATCCTTCCAACTCTACCCAAGTTTTTGGCTTGACACACACTTTAATTCGTATTTCTTACAGATGAACAATACGGAATCTATAATATGGGAAAAATTGTTATCTCGACATATCCTAAAACAGAAAATGACATGACATCCAGTTCTTCAGGAGAAAACCCCTATTTCCCAACATCTCCATCCAACTCCTCATGAAGCAGATCTGTCAACTGGTTCCTCCATACATGGAAAGGGCTTCCCTCATCTCTGTGATCCCGTCAAATATCAGACAGCCTATACAGAGGGGGAAACGTTCTCATCTTCTGAAAGCAGCAAATGTTTGAATCAGAAAGCTCATCTTCCTTCAAACGAGGGATCTTACACAATGGATGAGCCCCAGGAGCCCTACTCTTGTTCAGAGTGCGGGAAGTGTTTTTCCCCCTATTGTCCATTCTTAATAAACATAAGAGGACACACACTGGAGGGAAGCCGTTTTCATGTCCTGAATGTGGAAAATGTTTCACCACGTTGTCCAGTCTTAAAACACATAAGAAAAGGAAGATGTGCTCTTGGCCCGATTTAGGGAAAGGTGTTCCTGACAAAGACGGACTTACTAAACATCAAATATGTCACATGGAGGAAAAGCCCTTTTCATGTCGGGAGTGCGGGAAATGTTTTTCCCAAAAAAGCAATCTCATCATACATGAGAGAAGTCACACCGGAGAGAAGCCGCATTTCTGCACCGAGTGTGGAAAATGTTTTTCCACCACGACAAATCTTGCTTCACACCGGAAAACTCACACCGGAGAAAAAACCATATTCATGTTCAGAGTGCGGGAAATGTTTTTCTCAGAAGAGCAATCTCATTACACACGAGAGAAGTCACACAGGGGAGAAGCCGTATTCCTGCACCGACTGTGGAAAAAGTTTTTCCACTACGGCAAATCTAACTTCGCACCGGAAAACTCACACTGGAGAAAAGCCATATACATGTTCGGAGTGTGGGAAATGTTTTTCTTGGAAAGCCTGCCTGCTCAGGCATCAGCGTGTGCACACGGGATAGAAGCCATGTCTCTAGATCTTATCTTCTTTGTCGAGAGATGACTCCCATGTAATGTGGTCAAGCAAAGGTTGAGAGTTTCACTGACCGCACCGAGTTGATGCTGAACTAAGCTCCTTTTTTATCCCAATCACATTAAATACCAGTAAAGATTATTATTGCTTTACCTTTTAGCAAAAAAAAAATATTGTATTATTATTCTGTATTTGTGTGTATATTATTTTCTCACTACCAGTACATTGAAAGACTTACAGTGTATGTCAGGACACAAAAATATATATATTAGATACTGTATATCCTCTCCAATACATGCACACTTTCCCATGTCTCACCCCGCTAACCTCTTGCCGCCACAGTAAAATTCCTGCGGCTGGTTGGCACATGAAGACTCAGTCACATATACACAATATTGCCAAAAGTATTGAGCCCGCCCTCCTAATCATGTGATTCAGGTGTTACAATCCCCTTCATGGCCACAGGTGTATACATACAAGCCCCTAGGCATGCAGACTGCTTCTACAAACATTGGTGAAAGAATGGGTCGCTCTCAGGAGCTCAGTGATTCCAAGCGTGATCCCGTGATAGGTGGCCACCTGTGCGATAAATCCATCCGTGACATTTCCTGGCTACTAAATATTCCACGCTCAACTGTTAGTGGAATTATAACAAAGCGGAAGCAACTGGGAACAACAGCAACTCAGCCACCAAGTGGTAGGCCACATCACATGACAGAGCGGGGTCAGCGCATGCTGAAGTGCACAGTGCGCAGAAGTCACCAACTGTCTGCAGAGTCAATAGCTAAAGACCTCCAAACTTGGTGTGGCCTTCAGATGAGCACAACAACAGTGCGTAGAGAGCTTCATGGAATGGGTTTCCATGGCCGAGCAGCTGCATCCAAGCCTTACATCACCAAGTGCAATGCAAAGCGTCAGATGCCGTGGTGTAAAGCACGCCGCCACTGGACTCTAGAGCAGTGGAGACGTGTTCCCTGGAGTGACCAATCACGCTTCTCTGGCAATCCGATGGAAATGTCTGGGTTTGGCGGTTGCCAGAACGGTAGTTGCCTGACTGCATTGTGCCAAGTGTAAAGTTTGGTGGAGGGGGGATTATGGTGTGGGTTTTTTTTTCAGGGGTTGGTCTTGGCCCCCTAGTTCCAGTGAAGGGAACTCTTCAGGCGTCAGCATACCAAGACATTTTGGACAATTTCATGCTCCCAACTTTGTGGGAAGAGTATGGGAATGGCCCCTTCCTGTTCCAACATGACTGCGCACCAGTGCACAAAGCAAGGTCCATAAAGACATGGAGAAGCCAGTTTGGGGTGGAGGAACTTGACTGGCCTGCACATAGTCCTGACCTCAACCCCATAGAACACCTTTGGGATGAATTAGAGCGGAGACTGTGAGCCAGGCCTCCTCCCCCGACATCAGTGCCTGACCTGACAAATGTGCTTCTGGAAGAATGGTCCAACCTTCCCATAGACACCCTCCTAAACCTTGTGGACGGCCTTCCCAGAAGAATTGAAGCTGTTATAGCTGCAAAGGGCGGGGCCAACTCTATATTGAACCCTACGGATTAAGACTGGGGGGCCATTAAAGTGCATGTGTATGGAAAGGCAGGTGTCCCAATACTTTTGGCAATATAGTGTACAGTTGTGTTCAAAATAATAGCAGCGTGTTGAAAAAAGTGAATAAAGCTGAAAATCCTTCTAATAGCTTTTATTTCCATACACACAAATGCATTGGAAACACTACACATTCTATTCCAAAACATGAAGAAAAATATATCAAATTTGTGTTGTTCCTCTAAAAAAATTGAAGAAAAGTGAATATTAGACTGTTCAAAAAAATAGCAGTGTTTGTATTCTTCTTTACAAACTCAAACATTCACTATATAAACTGAAAAATGTTTGAAGATTTTGCTTTCCTTTGAATCACTTAATGAATATTTAGTTGTATAAGCACTGTTTCTGAGAACTGCTGTACATCTGTGTTGCATGGAGTCAACCAACTTCTGGCACCTGTGAACAGGTATTCCAGCCCAGGATGATTGGACTACATTCCACAGTTCTTCTCTATTTCTTGGTTTTGCCTCAGAAACGGCTTTTTTGATGTCACCCCACAAGTTTTCTATTGGATTAAGATCCGGGCATTGGGCTGGCCACTCCATAACGTCAATCTTGTTGGTCTGGAACCAAGATGTTGCACGTTTACTGGTGTGTTTGGATCCGTTGTCTTGTTGGAACACCCATTTCAAGGGCATTTCCTCTTCAGCATAAGGCAGCATGACCTCTTCAAGTATTCTGATGTATTCAAACTGATCCATGATCCCTGGTATGCGATAAATAGGCCCAACACCGTAGTATGAGAAACATCCCCATATCATGATGCTTGCACAACCATGCTTCACTCTCTTCACAGTGTACTGTGGCTTGAATTCAGTGTTTGGGGGTCGTCTGACAAACTGTCTCCGGCCACTAGACCCAAAAAGAACAATTTTACTTTCATCAGTCCACAAAATGTTGCGCCATTTCTCTTTAGGCCAGTCAATGTGCTCTTTGGCAAATTGTAACCTCTTCAGCACGTCTTTTTTTCAAGAGTGGGACTTTGCGGGGGCTTCTTGCAGATAGCTTGGCTTCACATAGGCGTCTTCTAATTGTAACAGTATTCACAGGTAACTTTAGACCTTCTTTGATCTTCCTGGAGCTGATTGTTGGCTGAGTCCTTGCCATTTTGGCTATTCTTCTATCCATTCCAATGGTAGTTTTTTGCTTTCTTCCACGTCTTTCAGGTTTTGGTTGCCATTTTAAAACATTTGCGATCATTTTAGCTGAGCAGCCTATCATTTTCTGCACTTCTTTATATGTTTTCCCCTCTCCAATCAACTTTTTAATCAAGGTACGCTGTTCTTCTGAACAATATCTGGAACAACCCATTTTCCTCAGAATTTCAGAGAGAAATGCACTGTAACCAGCATGTACAACATTTGCTGCCTTCCTTCCTTAAATAAGGGCAATAATTGCCACCTGTTTTTCAAAGAATGACTGACCTCACTAATAGAACTCCACACTGCTATTATTTTGAACATGCCCCTTTCAATTAGTGATTCAATTACACAGAATCAGCAGCATGCATGTCATGACTGTCGGGTCTGTTGGATTTCTATTACTCTACTACACCTGCTAGTAAATTATTTGCCATGTAGAAATATCAGTTCTACCAAAAACAGTGATTGATCAGGTTAGTGATGTCTGCTATTGTTTTGAACACAACTGTATATATACAGTGCATGCATAAAGTATTCAGACCCCCTTCAGTTTTTGCAATTTTGTTATGTTGCAGCCTGATACAACAGTTTAAATTCATTTTTTTCTCCCTAATCTACACTCAGTACTCCATAATGACAAAGTAAAACAGAATTTTGAAAATATTTGCAAATGTATGAAAAAGAAAGAAATGAAATATCACATTGGCATAAGTATTCAGACCCTTGGCAACAACACTCGAAATTTAGCTCAGGTATCTGCCATTTCTCTTGATCATTGCTGAGATGTTTCTACGTCCACCTGTAGTAAATTAAATTGATTTGACATGATTTGGAAAGGCACACGACTCTCTATAAAAAGCCTCACAGCAGACAATACATATTGTATCAGAGACAAAGCCATGGGGTCAAAGGAACTGCCCGCAGAGCTCAGAGACAGGATTACTGCAAGGTACAGATCTGGGGACGGCTACAAAAAAGTATCTGCTGCACTGAAGGTTCCCAAGAGCACAGTGGCCTCCATAATTCTCAAGTGGAAGAAGTTTGGCACAACCACGACTCTTCCAAGAGCTAATCGCTTGGCCAAACTGAGCAACTGGGGGAGAAGGGCCTTAGTAAGAGTGGTGACCAAGAACCCGATCTTGTGTGGAGATGGGACAAAGTTCCAGAAGGACCACCATCACTACAGCCTTCCACTGATCTGGGTTTTATGGCAGAGTGGCTAGATGGAAGCCTTTGGTTGCAAACTCCAAGTGGGCTTTCATGTCACATCTCCTTGGTGCAAAACACATGAAAGCCCATTTGGAGTTTGCAAAAGCTTTTTTTTGCAAACTCCAAGTGGGCTTTCATGTCACCCCCCCCCCCCCCAGAGTAGTACAGTGTCACTATTGGTAAACTGAGGTACTTTGATGACAGAATGTAAAAAAAAAAGTAAGAAAAGAAAATAAGTAAGAAGAAAAAAAAAATGTAAAAAAAAGGAACCAGTCACTACCACACCAGTTATAAGAAGACGCTTTACTGCATTAGTGACAGTATGTAAAAAAAAATTATTTTAGTTAATTTTTTTAATATTTCAAGAAAGTATGACAAAAAAATTACAACTTCAAAAAACTCACCATGTCTCTTACTAAATTCTCAGACTGTCTACTTTTGAAAAAAGGCGTCATTTGGGGGTTATTTGTACTGTCCTGGCATTTAGAGCCTCAAGAAATGAGATTGGGCGTCAGTACATCAGGATTGATCAATTTTCATATCGTAGTTTGTAGACTTTCACACAAGCCAATCAATAAACACTTTATGGGATTTTTTTTTACAAAACACGTAGCAGAATACATTGTGGCTGACATTTATGAGGACATTGGATTTTTTTTATTGGATATGTTTTATAACAGAAAATATTTATTTCAGGTACTTATATAGCGCCATCAATTTACGCAGCACTTTACATATATATTGTACATTCACATCAGTCCCTAACCCTCAAGGGGTGTACAATCTAAGGTCCCTAACTCACATTCATACATACACATACTAGGGACAATTTAGACAGGAGCCAATTAACCTACCAGCATGTCTTTGGAGTATGGAAGGAAACCAGAGAACCCGGAGGAAACCTACGCAGGCACAGGGGAGCATGCAGACTCCAGGCAGGTGGTGCCGTAGGTGGGATTCAAACCAGCAACCTGAGTACTGCCAGGCGGAAGTGCTAACCATTTAGCCACTGCGCTGCCCTAATATTTCAATAACAAAATTACCAAAAAATATATATATATATATTTTTATGGTCATTTTTCGGTTATAAAAATAAAAAAAACAGTGATGATCTAATACCAAGAAAACTCAATTTTCATATAGTGAACTCAGTGTAGAGCTATTCACCCTGAGGTCATCACAGAGGACAAGAGAGCACTCTTTATGTCTGGAGGAAAAGAAATTTAATCTCGAAACACGGAAAGGTTTCCTCACAGTAAGAGCTGTGAGAATGTGGAATAGACTCCCTCAAGAGTTTGTTCTGGCCAGCTCCGTGGATTTGTCATGTTTCACATGACTGTCATATGCCTTTAAGTGTTTTTTGTATTTTGTCTCTGCTCCTCCCTTTCCTTTGGTTTAGTTCTTGCTGTATAGATAGCCCACCCTTTTCCCAGTAATGCATTTCAGCTTCAAGCCTCATGTCATGAAGCAGATCACATTATGATCTTTTGACCTATCAGATCTTCATTGTTGTAAGATTCTCTCAGTTTATGGAATAAACTTCACAAGATCTACAGGGTGTCATCTAGATTGAGTCACTGTCTGTGTTATTCAACTAAGATTGGAGTTATCGCTATCTCATCACAACTCTTAAAGTTACAGAGATCACACATTCGATGCTTAGATTGGAGAGACGGAACAGGATTGCTTCAAACAAGTCCTGGATTCTTTCTTGAATACACAGAATATAATTATTGCCTTCCCCTGCATCAACTGTAGGTGTAGGATTCTAACTTTTTTTTTTCTATGGTTGAACTGGATGGATTTTTGTCTTTTTTTTTTTCAGCCAGACTAACTATGTAACTATGTAATTTATATGAAGAAAATTGATATAAGTTTCATTGGGATACAGTGTTGCATGACCGTGCAATTACCAGTTAAAGCAACGCAGTGCTAAATAGCAAAAAATGGCTGGGTCAAGAAGGGGGTAAAAACCTTCCGGGTGTCAAGTGGTTAAAAATGGTGCAAGTACAGAAAATTTCTTTGCTGGCCTTCCAGAAATCCAGTGCGCTCCTAACTTCTTGTTTGGGGCTGACAACGCAGTGGGGTTGATTTACTAAAAACTGGAGAGTGCAAAATCTAGTGCAGCTCTGCGTAGAAACCAATCGGCTTCCAGATTTAAGGCTAGCTTCACATCTTGGCGGATTGCACGATTTTGCAGTGTTTTCTGCGGTGCGTTTTGTGTTTTTTTTTTTTGTTTGCCAGTAAGAAAAGAATTGACTTTAATGCCACTTTGATATGACTTTGGATGCTACTTGAGTGTCAGAGAGTGCAAAGTCGCATCAAAGTTGCACCCATCCAAAGTTGCATCAAAGTCAATACTTACCTATTGGCAAAAAACCTGCAAAAAAGACATAAAAATGCAACACGTGTGTTTTTTGGTGCAGGTCCATTGACGTCTATTACACGCAAAAAGTAACCTGCTGCAGGAAAAAAAGCACAGGGCGCGCGCTCTCAGCACATATGTTTTTTTATAATTGAACGCAAATGTGCGGCTGCTCGGCATCTAGGCTCAGACACTGGGAGGCCGCACATTTGTGTGCATCCGGCGTGAAGAGGTTAATGGACTGTTGTGTGGTTCTGCAAACTGGAAAACGCACTGAGCTCCGCATAATTTGATGTTTTCTCCAGTGCTTTTTGCAGTTTGATTTGCATTTTTCTACACACATTTTTGATGCGTTTTTACTGCAATTTGTTTTTTGTTCATTTTTGTTGCTGGGCAGAATACAAATGCAAAGCACAGCAAAAACGTACTACCATGCATTTCAGCAGCTTCTTCATTGACCTCTGTTGTAGCAACAATGCTGTTTTTTGCTTTTAAAAAAGTCCAAAAACGTAGCAGCTCAAAAAAGCATAGATGTGAACATGTTCCATAGGAAACCAGGTTAAATGGACTGTAGTGCGTTTCTGCAAAAAGCACTAAAAAACACATTGGTGTGAATGGAGCCTAAGTTTGAGCCTAGGGTTAGGCTAAGTTGACAGCTCTGTGTGTTGCGACTGATGCTTTTTACTGACGTGTTTTGCATTTTTGAACACGTTTTGTCTTTTGCCAATAGGAAAGTATTGACTTTGATGTCACCTTGATGTGACTTTGATGCAGCTTTGGATGGGTGCAACTTGGGTGCTACTTTGATGCTACTTGAGTGTCAGAGTGTAAAGTCACATGAAAGTCGTACTACATGAACAGGACTTATGACTAAGTCCCGGATGACACGAAACGCATCAAGGGAAGTGACGTCGGATGCACAGGAGAGGAACTGGAAGTGGCACGTCGGCCATTTTGGAGACTGGAAAACCGCATGTCAAACATACTGGAAGCTGCTTGGCAACCCTAGAGGTTTGAAGGGCATGGGAATATGCTTCTTATTCATTTTTTCATTGTAAGCAGTTAAATAAAGTGTTTATTTGAACAATTTAAAAAAAAAAACGGAATAACACTATACAGTTAGGTCCATATATATTTGGACACAGACACAATTTTAGTTTTTTTCAGGTATTGACCAAAACATATTAAAACTATAGCTATATAATGGATATGGGCTGAAAGTACACACTCTCAGGTGTAATTTGAGGGTATGTACATCCAAATTGGAGGAGGGTTTAGGAGGGTTTTTCAAGGGACCAAAAGTAGGAATTACAGCTCTGAAGTTTATTCTAAGTGCATTTGAATCTATGCATGGAATCTGTGAACCTATATCATGTGTACAAAGGAGCTGTCCATGCAAGTGAAACAGGCCATTGTAAGGCTTCAAAAACTAAACAAATCCATCAGAGAGATAGCAGCAACATTAGGAGTAGCTAAATCAACAGTTTGGTACATTCTGAAGGAAAGAAGAACGCACTGGTGAGCTCAGCAACATAAAAAGGCATGGATGGCCACGGAAGACAACAGTGGTGGATGATCACAGGATCCTCTCCATGGTAAAGAAAACCCCATTCACAACATCCAGACAAGTGAAGTACACTCTCCAGGAGGTGGGCGTATCATTGTCAAAGTCTACAATCAAGAGAAGACTTCACGAGAGCAATTACAGAGGGTTTACCACAAGGTGCAAACCATTCATAAGCCTGAAGGATAGAAAAGCCAGATTAGACTTTGCCAAAAAACATCTAAAAAGCCGGACCAGTTCTGGAAAAGCATTCTTTGGATGGATGAAACTAAGATAAATTTGTACCAGAATGATGGGAAGAAAAAAAAGTGTGGAGAAGGCGTGGAACCGCTCATGATCCAAAGCACACAACGTCATCTGTAAAACATGGTGGAGGCAGTGTGTGATGGCATGGGCATGCATGGCTTCCAGTGGCACTGGGTCATTGGGGTTTATTGATGATGTGACAGAAGACAAAAGCAGCCGGATGAATTCTGCAGTGTTTACAGATATACGGTCAGCCCAGATTCAGCCAAATGCAGAAAAGTTGATTGGACGGCTTTTCATAGTACAGATGGACAATAATCCAAAACACACTGCAAAAGCAACCCAGGAGCTTTTGAAGGAAAAGAAGTGGAATATTCTGCAATGGCTGAGTCAATCACCTGATCTCAACACAATTTAGCATGCATTTCACTTGCTGAAGTCAAAACTAAAGGCAGAAAGACCCACAAACAAAGAACAACTGAAGACAGCTGCAGTTAGAGCCTGGCAAAGCATCAGAAAGGAGGAAACCCAGTCTTTGGTAATGTCCATGGGTTCCTGACTTCAGGCAAAGCATCAGAAAGGAGGAAACCCAGTCTTTGGTCATGTCCATGGGTTCCTGACTTCAGGCAAAGCATCAGAAAGGAGGAAACCCAGTCTTTGGTCATGTCCATGGGTTCCAGACTTCAGGCAAAGCCTCAAAAAGGAGGAAACCCAGTCTTTGGTCATGTCCATGGGTTCCAGACTTCAGGCAGTCATTGCCAGTAAAGGTTTCTCAACAAAAAATATTAAAAATGAACATTTTATTTATGATTATATTCATTTGTCCAATTA